TAGATAATAAAGCTAACAATGAGAAAAACAACTTGGGCATTTCGTTTTATTTAGCGATACAGCAGTTGAGAGATGGATAATCTCAATACCAGTCATCATCATCAGCATCATCATTATCAACAGCAACGTAGAACTTTTCACGTAAGTACATCAGTTCAAGTTGCCATACCACCACATTAGCACAGAGAGAGATGCAATTGTCAATTCAAATCTCATAGTAGTGGTAGAGGTAGTAAACGAATTAGAAGTAGTCGGAGAGATTAGGATTCGAAGATATTATTCAAGAAGTATGATTCAGTGAGGTAAATTTAGAAAGAAAAAGATAGAGGTGATGATGAATTCAGAAAGTTAGAATATCATAAAACACAAGGAGTAAATGCACCTACGCCATTGAAATTCCAGTTCTCCTGAATCGTTCTACACTAGGAACTCAAACTTAGTGAATTTCTTAATTCAACAACTGATTGAATTACTAACTAAACTCGGGTGTTAGGTAAGGATGGCAGATCAATAGATGAAGTGGTGAAACTTCATCTATTGAGGTGTTCGGGACATGTGTTACGTATGCCTAACCACCGACTGCCTCGACGAGCTATGTTTTGTGGTGTAGGAGTAGGTTGGAAGAAAGTTAGGGGCGGCCAAAACAAAACATGTCACAAATCCATGAAGTCAATGACAAGTAGATTGAGTCATGTTGGTAGATGTAGGCTACCTGGTTGGGGTCCGCGAGACGAAAGTCACAAATGATTAGAGACTTCGAACGACATTGCTCAAAATCGTTTACAATGGCATAAGTGCATCCATTCGTTGTGTTCTCTCAAATCCTAATCTTCTGGATTCGTTAACACCTCTACCTTTGTCTTCCTAACCTTATTTCACTGAATTATATTTCTTGAATAATATCTTCGAACCCTAGTCTTCTTCATTACCATTAATACCTCTACTATCTTTATCACTATAGGATTTGATTTGACATTTGCGTCTCTGTGCTGGTATGGCAACATGAACTTATGTACATAGACGTACGAAGTTCTACGTTACAACTGACTGCAGTTAAACTCCACCCACCCACCCATCATATAATAATAGTAAAGACAAACACAACCTACTCTCTGTTGGTGCAGTCACTTGTAAACTGATCACTTTCAATTGTTCCGGATCAATAGTGACCTGCATATCATCGTCATCATCTTCATCGTCGTTCTTATCATAATCACCGTCATCATCAACATTAACAACAACATCATCATCTTCATCATCTTCGTCAACATCAACATCAACGCCGTCAATTTTGTCATGATCATTCTTCTGCTTCTTCCTCTTCGTCTTCCTCTGGCTCTTTCGATGCATATCATCATCACCACCAACACCACTAGTAGTCATGAATGTTTGGCATACTTGACATGTTAATAAAAAATTTACTAAACCAAATAATGTTGATATTTCATAGGTATGATTTTCGCTATCCATTGATGTACATGTAATACGACAAGGAGAAAATCTATATTTGAAAAAAGACAAAATTAGAATAAATGTGTCCATCCATGTATTGATGTAATTGTTATATATAGACAACCAATCAGAAGTGACCAAATGAGAATGACAATTAGAAAATGTCCAAAATGATATGATTGGTCAAGAGATGGATTCATTTTCTAATGGGAAGGAATGCATATATATATATATATATATATATATATATATATATATATATATATATATAACACAGTCACAATCTTATTCTACCGCCCTTAGCATACTTCTAACCTACTACTACACCGAACGGAAGCTGATACCATGACGTGGTGGTCGGGCTTGCCTATTGTCATGACCCAACCGAGCTACATTGACTGGAACTTATGTTCCTGAAGGTCCTACCATGCCAGGCAGGTCGATCGGAGAACGATGAGACTAAAACCAGCTACCCAAGGTCTCAGGGCGAAGTCGTACTGCTGACTGCAGAGGGTTGTGACAGCAGTAAAGTGTTTCCCTCAGACAACTAGCATATTCAGCGATGCTGTCTTCTTACAAGGAAGGAAGGGTTAGAAAAGGTCGACCACAAAAATGTCACACCTCACCCTACCTCACGGATTTCTGTCTCCGTCGGTAAGGGCTGCCCATTAACGGCTTTAAAAGAAAAGAGCTAATTACTCAAAAAACCTTTCATAAAAAGGCCGTGCGTGACCGGCCTCAAGCAGTTGTCCCTTAGGCTCTGCGGTCACGCTCCCAGGTCTCTAAGACCAACGCTAATCTATCTTCCTTTTCAGGTCCCTTAAGAAACAACCTTCCACGGTGTGGACAACCGCCCTCATACCCATAAAAGCACACGAGATCAAACTGGTTAAAATCAAATGCTTCCTACACCCCTTAATACCTCTCTCTTATCTCCACAACTAACTCTTCACACCAATAGGTATGGCCACAACATTTACAATAATAAAAGAAAGAAAATATATGAGAACAGAAACAACACCAACCCTATTTCTTTTAACAACTTACAAATTAATCATTTTTCTAGTGTTCAGTATTGATTCAACTCGACACTTTTCATCATCTGTATTATGATGCTGACGCTGATTACGTAATGCTTCATCAATTGGTATTGGAAATAATTCTGTACAACCAATGGAACGATTCAGTAGATTACTTAAATTGTCCACTTGTTCTTGATTAGATTTTTTTTCTAATAATTGTTTTAATTTTAATTGTAATTTATTTTTATGGTGAAGTAATTTTTCATTTGAGTGACGTAGTTGTAATTGATGTTGTGTAGTTTGATGAATGCCTTGTTGAATTCGATCAAGTTCTAGAAAGAAAAAATTTTGGATTATGATTGAAAAATTTAGATATTTTTTAAAGAAAATGCAACAAAACAGAGAAAAGTATAATTAATTTACATTGTAAAACAAAGATAGAGATAGTTGCGTGATTCAAACCAATCTGTTATAATGAAGGTTTGGGCAGCTGACCGTGGTGGTCGAGCCGGCTTGCCTATCGTCATGACCCAACCGAGCTATATTGGTTTTAATATATGTTCCTGAATGGTCTACCATGCCAGTCAGGTCGATTGCAGAGCGAAGAGACGAAAAGCAGCAACCCAAGATCTGAGGGCGAAGTGGTACTGCCGACTGTAGAAGGATGTGACAGTGTTAAGGTGTTTCTCTCGGACGATAAACATCTGCATCTATGCCGCCTTCTCGCAACGGGAGGAACGGATTCGAGGAAGTTGACCCTAAAAATTTCAAACCTCGGATTACCTCATGAATTTCCGTCTCTAGCGGCAAAGCCTTCATTTTCAGGTCCCTCAAAAAACACCCTTCCACGGTGTAGGTAGCCGGGTAGTAAAATCTGCCCTCATACCCGTAACACCATACGAGAGTAGGTTGTTGATGATCAAGTCCTTCCCATATCACTTATTAACTCTCTAACCTCCACGACTAACCCTTCTCACATTCCTAATGACTGAGGTTTTGGGATATTTTACTCCTATGATATATAACGATAGTACGATGTAATAAAACTGGTCTGGATGATTGAGTTTATACTACTACTGAATTGAATACTCGAACGACACACACAACCATTGCAAACGGTTTTGAGCCATGTTGTTATTCACGGTCGATTAATATCATCACGCGGACCCCAACTAGGTAATCGACAACTACAATTGTCAGTGACTTCATCGATTTCTGCCATATTTTGGTCTGGCCGCCCCTAACTTTCTTCCAACCAATTCCTACATCGCAAAACATAGCTAGACAAGGCAGTTGATGGTCAGTCATACGTAACACATGTTCCAACCACTTCAACTAATGAAGTTTCAATACTGCATCTATTGACCTGCCATCCTTACCTAGTACCCGTTTCCTAACGACAGTATAAAAGATAGGTACACGGAATGCTGGTACAATGTGGGGAGACGAGAAGAACTATTCAAGCTGCTGAAGAAATAAAAAAATACATTCTGATGGTGCTTGGAATGACGTTAAAAGTGGATAGGACACATTGTGCGGAGAGTATCTTACTGCATCAAGAGGCAAACCCTAACATGGAATCCTCAAGGACAAAGGCAAAGATGTGGAGCAAAGAACACATAAAACTAAGAATTGGAATCAGACATCAAAAGAACAAACAGCAATTGGTCAGAACTAGAAAGGAAGGCCTTGGACAGAGTTGGTTGGAGAATGCTTGTAAGCAGCTTATGCTCCATTAGGAGTAGGTAACAGGCGTGATTACGTAATAAAGTAATACATTTATTCAGAATACGAACAATTCGAAAGAGTATTAATAATATATATATATATAAGTATAAAGGAATTACTTCAACTTACTTTTAAGTGCATCTTTAGCATAATTTTCCAGTTCTTCCCACTGTTTCTGTTCTAAAATATTTAATAATGAATAATTTTATAAAAATCTAAATGTATTTCAACATTTATAATCAACATAAGATCAATTCGAATAAAGCTACACGTTTTTTTTTCATGTACAAAGAGGCAACCTAAATATTTACGTGTCACACAAATTATTGAGTAGGCTAACCAGATGGTTTCTTTATAGAATCACTTCCCAAATGCCTTAATCAACAAGTCTAATCTACAAAGCAATGGAGCAGAGTAAGGAGATACAGTCTCATGGTAGCCGGTTGCCAACAATAGGCTTAAATGCCATTTGTTCTCTCAGGATCCCGCAGCCCATATATGCGTCATTGGTTTCGAATAGTGGTTTTCTAACTCTCCTAGGTGGATCCTTCACACAGATAGACAGATACAAAGCAGAACTTCGTACATAAGTACATCAGTTCACGTTGCCATATCACGTCAGCACAGAGACATAACTGTCAGTTCAAATCCAAGAGTGATAGTGATAGTAGAATTATTAGCAGCAATGGAGAAGTGAGATAAATTTAGAAGGAGAAAGATAGAGATTATGAGGAATTCAGAAGGTTAGGATTAAAAAGCACACAAGGAGTGAATGCATCTGCTCCATTGCAAACGATTCTGAGCCATGTCGTTCAAGGTCTCACATAGGTCCTTCAAACCCAATAACACGGTTCAAGTCCCAACCAGACATCGACTTTTTTCATCCTCACAACCCCTCAAACAAAACCTCGCCGTAGGACTTCTTTGGCAATGGCTATATATGTATGGCCAGATGAGAGAGCATTTCAAGATGGTATGTAGACTTTCTTTGCTCTCAGCATCATCAGAGCATTCGGGAAACTACACATCGGGTTTGTGTGTGCGCGCACAGAGGGGAAGTAAATCAAATGAAACTCAAAAAGTATGAGTAAATGTGTCAATGTACTACCACTACTCAAAACTGAATTTGATTAAAAGCTAGTCATATACACAATTCAGCTGTTTAAAATGAAGTGAATCAGACAGAGAAAAAGTAATCTTTCCGTATACACAGTTAGTGGTAACCAATTTTTAGGTGAAAAATTCTAAAACTACCGATCAGTTTAATAATAAACAATGAAAGTGAAGTAGATATGACAAATGATTGACTGAGTAGCATAATGTGTAATGTACTCATCATTCAACTAATCTCTATACGGTTTAGCCCAATGTGCAATAACTTCATAGATTGATATCATGTTATCGTTATTACTATTGTTGGGGATGTTAGATCCCCAGAACTCGCTTGATAAATATCTTTATTTTGGATTTATTTCATGGACCGGTCAGTTGACCTTGAGATCACATTTCCCACCAGAGAGATTCTTGGCTGTGATTAGTTACTGTGTCATTTTAGTGTGCTATTTTTGTGACTGTCCCAAGGATCAAGGATGTCTCTATAGAGTATAAATAAACGCATTTTGAGTGCTTGGATTTATTGTGTGTGCTGGCTGGGTATTTGTAGAATACACTTTCTGCGCTATATCAAGACTTCTTGCTGATACAATCGGGTCGAAGGATTACAGTAGCCTACCTGTACGTTGGGTCATTGTTTTGTTCTCGTTATTCGACTAAGGTGAACTCGTAATAGTTTAAGCATTCTTAGAGTCGAGCGTAACACAATTTGGCGACGGCATTTTGACAAACGATCTAGTGAATTATGATGGATGCAGCTAAATTAGATAAATTGTTTGCACAACAGCTGAAAATGGTGGAGAAACTTTCTCAGAAGCACACCTCTTCTCAAGTCTCATCTACACCGACAATTCCTCAGTCAGTCGATGATATGACAAGTGGTATTTCAGAGTTTCTTCATTATCCTGACGCCAATATTACATTTGATACTTGGTTCAGGCGTTATTAATACCTCTTCAAATTTGATTTTGCTGACAGAGATGATTCATGGAAGGTGAGTCTTCTCCTCAGAAAACTTGGTCTGTCAGAACTGGACCAGTATTGCAACTACATCCTGCCGCAGAACCCACGTGACCGATCATTCGATGCTACTTTTCAGTCCCTCAGCAAACATTTTGGTGATCACTCTCTTTTCAATGCACGTTATCGCTGTTTAAAAATGGTCATGAATGAGTCCGATAACTTCATGACCCATGCTGGCATTGTCAACCGTGAGTGCGAACGATGACCGATAACCAAGTCAAATCCCTATTATTCATACGCAGTCTTCAATCACCTATATTTTCCGACATCAGAACTCGGTCATAAAGATGGTTTTTGCCTAAAGAGAAAGCCGAACCGATCCAGAATTACCAAGAAGTCTGTTCCTAGATCCAGTACCAATTATTCATTGAGCCTAATATCTTCCTGTCAAAACTCATCACCAGGTGAGAGAAAATTCATTACTCTTAATGTTAACGGGTATTTGTGCAGATTGTAAATAGATACCGCATCTGTTGTCACCATCCTCTCACGCAAAAATCGGACCAAAGTGGGCAGCTCAAGCTTGCAGCACACAACACAGAAGCCTCGTACAGCATGTGGTAATTACCTTCGTCTGTCAGGACAATTGGAATGTAAAGTTGCCTTCTGAGACTCGTCATTTACTGGGGTATGTTAAATAACGCCAGCTGATCTAAATTTACTTTGTTTAGATTGGTTCGACCAGCTAAAATTGGCTGATGTCCCGTTAAATACCATATGCCACCAGGTATCACGACCACATGACCTCGAACATATATGAGGAATCTAATGAAGCAGTTTTCAACCATTTTTGAACCTGGATTAGGTCGGTGCACTGCCATGAAAGCAACACTTCGGTTGAAACATGGGGCTAAGCCTGCTTTCTATCCAGAGACCCGTGCCTTATGCAACATTAGCAACAGTAGACAAAGAATTGAATCGCCTTCAACGACAAGGAGTTATTACTCCCGTTTTTTAATCTACTTGGGCAGTACCTATAGTTGTTATTAAGAAGGTCAACGGCGCGATACGTGCTGACTTTTCTACAGGTCTAAACGCAGCTCTCGAACAGTATCATTATCCTCTGTCAGTCTCAGGAGATCGGTTTTAGTAAAAAAAAATTTGAAAAACAGTACCATTTCATGTTTCTAGTCTAATCACATCAAGCACTAACATTATAAATCATAACTAGAGAGATAATCATTACAATTGTAATAAACAGGAAAATAACATTTTTCTGTTGAAATACTGAATCAACCATTGGTTAGACCAACCATTAGAAACTTGGAAGCACTATATATGTCCGTCTCGTCCTAGCATTGCGCATTCACAACTCTCACACACGCAGGAATCGAACCCAGGACAATCGATTTCAGGTATGAATGCTTAGCGTCTAGACCAGTGAGTGAGTCAGCACACACAACAATGTGAATGTCTAACTACATGAAGAAATAGCCATCCAATGGCTTCCAAGGTTTCTAATGATGATTTCCTTATTTCAATGAAACATAACAATCTGCATAATTCTACTTACCTTGTTGTTTCTTTTTTAATTCATTTTGTTTTTCATTAATCAATAATTCAAGATATGTATTTAATTGTTTTAAATTAGTTATTTCCAACTACGAAAAATGGAAAAAAAATTCAAAAACAAATATTTTAATAAAGAAGAATTTAGATCATTACAGCAACAAAAAAAGATGATATATGATACCAGGGAGTTTGATCAAGTTTAGACATAATTGAATTCGATAGGTCAATGACAAGTTGAACAAATCATGTTAGGTGATATATATCGATTTTCTTTCATGGTTGTATATAGAATCTAGGTTTAAGGCCAAATTAAAACATGGCTGAAATCTATGAGGTCACGGACAAGTGGACATTCTTAGAAAAGAAGCCATTTTTTGACTAACAATATGCATTCATCATCAAGTGACCTCGTCCAGCCACTTCTGATGGCAGATCAATTGATGAAGTAGGGAAACTTCATCAGTAGAGGTGGTTAGTACGTGTGTTATGAATGCCTAATCACCGACTTCCTCTACAAGCTACGTATTGTGGTGCAGGAGTAGGAGTAGCTTACATGAAATCTAGGAGTGGTCAAACCAAAACATGGCAAAAATCCATAAAGTCACTGACAAGTGGACTGAGCGATGTTGGTAAGTGTCGACTACTTGGTTGAGGTCCGCAAGATGATAATAATCGATGGTTAGAGACTTTGATTGACATGGCTCAAAATCGTTTACAATGGTGCAGGTGAATTCATTGCTTGGCTTCTCTCAAATTCTAACCTTCTCAGAGTTTCTCATCACTTGTATCTTTTTCTTTTTAAGTTTAGTTCACTAGATTCTACTTCTTGAATAATATCGTCGAACCCTAATCTCCCCGATTACTTCTAATACTTTTACTACCTCTACTAGTATGGGATTTGTAGTGTGCTAATGTGGTACGGCACCTTGAACTGATGTACGTATGTACGAATTTCTACGTTGCTGTTGATTGATTGATGAGGATGAACAATCTCCAATTATCAATGAAACAGATGCATGTGAAAATACTTTGACATTTGTATATGATAGATGAATTTTTGTCCTAAAAGTTATGTTTTGCGACTTAGTTAATGGTATAAAAAGGAGTAAATTCCTTTTACGCTAATTTTGATAAGACGTAATAAGCTGTGATCAGTGGAGTTCAATCCTGTTAGGTGTGAGGCAGTTACCTATCGAAGACAAATGAGTGAAGTTACGCAAAATCTTAGACTGATCAAAATTAAACATGAACACCCGTGTTCTAAATGTTAAGCGTCCGCGGGCGAGACCGAAGCTCTTGGGTTCAAAATTCATGAGTGCCGAATCCTGCATACACACTGCCAAGGAGTCCCATATTAGGATGAAGCGACCGTCCATTGCTTCCAGGTTTCTAATGATGTTTTAACAATAATCGATTCATGGTTTAGATAACAGGTAAAGTTTTCCTATGGTCTTACAGTTATTTCACGTCATTTGAGCAAAACCTCTAGAAACCTTTAAAATCAGTCAGTCAGCTGATGTAACTGTTGTTTCCATTAATGATTCATAAACCATACAGCAAACTTCTACATAGTATTTTCACTCATTCGTTAACAAACAGACATCTGGCATAAACAATGCAAATGACGTAAGTTAACAGAAACCAACCAAAACTTTTTAAATTTATGTTAAGATATTCATTAGCTGCCAACTTATCAGGGGAATTCCAAGATATAAATGAAGTGATCCATATGCCCAAGTACTTCAAAGCTTATGATCGATCAATTGTAAATGACGATGTAGACTAGTGCAAAAGTAACCATTCGCATTTAGACAAACATTAACGTCTCCTAAGAAGCATGGTTTGTATTGTTACTACAGACAATCAAAAGACAATGTGTTATTATCAGTAAAAAGAGTTGTAAAGATTGTTGTGTTGCTATGTTTGAACACCATTAAAAGCAGTCAGTCAGATGCAATGTAGAACTTCGTACGTAACTACATCAGTTCATGTTGCCACACCACATCAGCACAGAGTGGTGCAATTGTCAATTCAAATCCAATAGAGTAGTAGAGGTAGTAAAGATATTAGAAGTAGTCGGAGAGGTTAGCATTAGAAGATATTAATCAACAAGTACGATTAAATGAGAAAAGTTTAGAAAGTCAAAACTAGAGGTGTTGAAGAATCCAGAAGATTAGGATTTGAGAGAACAGAAAAAATAAATGCACCGGCGCCATTGCGAACGATTTTGAGCCATGTCATTCAAGGTCTCTAACCATCGATTATTATCATCTCGCGGACCCCGACCAGGTAGTCAAAATCAACTGACACGGTTAAGTCCACTCGTCAATGATTTCATGGATTTCTGCCATGTTTTGGTTTGGCCGCCCCTAACTTTCTTCCAACCTACTCCTACACTACAAAACAAAGCTCTTCGAGGCAGTCGGTGGTTGGGCATACGCAACGTATGTCCCAATCACCTCAACTATTAAAAGCATGTGAGCACTAGACGGCTATTTTGTTTTTACACAGTGAAATCATGAAATCGTCCTAGTATGGGACTCATCAGAAAGGAGCATCCATGAAAACCAGGACCTTCGGTCTTGCGAGCAAACGCCTAACTTCTGGTCTACTGGACCGATACTCGATGATGTTAATATTTAACTCTCATCAATCTAGGAATTCGAAGCGACCTCACCCATTTGTCCTCGGCAGTCACTGCTTACACCCGACATAGTTGAACTCCACTAGTCACATCTTCACAATGTTAGACCACCAATAAACGAAACCTGGAAGCACTGAAAAACGGCCGTTTCATCCTGGCACATGGGACTACTCATCAGTGGCAGTGCGCATCCACCACGATTCCTGCACCCCAGCAGGATTCGAACCCAGGACCTTCGGCATTGTGCGCGTACACCCTATAACCGTTAGACCACTGAGCACTTATATAACGGTGTTAATGTCTAACTTGATCAAATTCACGGAGTCGCGCAACCTTATACCCTGTATACATCCGAACAGGTTTGAACTTCACTGGTCACGACTTCCCACTAGAACTCGGAGAAGATTCCTCACTAAGCTAGTCACTAGTGGACACATGTAATTGCATTGCGGGGTTGTTGTGAAGATTGTTAAGTTTTATTTGTAACCATGAATCGATCAATGTTAGACCACCATTAAACGAAACCTGGAAGAAGCACTGAAAGACGGCCGTTTCGTCCTGGCACATGGGACTACTACTCATCAGTGGCAGTGCGCATCCACCACGACTCCTGCACCCCGCAGGATTCGAAGCCAGGACCTTCGGTATTGTGCACAAACGCCCTAACCATCGGCCCACTGAGCCAGTCGACATCCAACAGTGTTAATGATAAATACAAAACAATAAAAAAACAGTATTAAAATTACATTTAATTCTGAATTACGAGCAGCGATATTCTCATCGATAATTGGATAAATTTCTTGTAAAGCGAATTTTGAACAATTATGTAATAGTTGATGTGCACCAGCCATAAATTTCAAATGCTGTGAAGAAAAATGGGAGGGGGGAGATAAAAGGAGCAAGATTGAGATATTTTGAATAACAATCAGAGTTTTTAAAGGGAACACATGAAAAATATCTCTATGTACTATTATTGACATGATAGGGGTTGTGGAGGTTATTCTCAGTTACTACTTCTTTTTTGGTGGAAATTATGGAAGCGCTCTATATATGGCTGTTTCGTTCTGGTATGGAACTACTACTCATTCATTAGTCACAGTGCACCACGCTAACGACTCCCGCTACTCACACAGCGAAATCGAATACAAAACATTTGGGTCTCGCAACCGAATGCCTAACCTCTGGAAATGTATATATGTGTCAGACAGACAGACAGATTTGATTTCGACCAATTTGGTCTCTCGTGCTGTTGCGGGTATGAGGGCGATTGTCACTTCCAGGCTGCCCACACAGTGGAAGTTTGTTTCTTAAGGAACCTGAAAAGGAAGGTAGATTAGTATTGGTCTTAGAGAGCTGGGTGCGTGACCGCAGAGTCCAAGGGACAACTGCATGAGGCCGGTCACGCACGGCCTTTTGATGAAAGGTTTTTTGAGGATTAGCTCCGCTCTTAAAGGCCCTTAGTGGGCAGCCCTTACTGACGGAGACGGAAATCCGTGAGGTTGGATGAGGTGTGACATTTTTACGGTCGACCCTTCCTAACCCCTTCCTTCCTTGTGAGAAGGCAGCATCGCTGCAGATGCTGGTTATCCGAGGGAAATACCTTACTGCTGTCACAGCCCTCTGCAGTCAGTAGAACGACTTCGCCCTCAAACTATGAGTTGCTGCTTTTAGTCTCGCCTTTCTCCAATCGACATTCTCGATACGGTAGAACCTACACAAACATATGTGTCAAGATAATAGAAAGGTTTCAGTTGTGCTATCTGCCTTTATATTCTCGAGCATAAGCTGATCAGGAAAATCTTTGGTTGCTATTGGTTGTTGTATTATTATTTTAGTACGCTATTTTTTGTGGCTCTCCTAAATACGTTTCTATCTTGTACAAATAAACTGGATTTTTGTGCTTGTCAATAGCATATTTTTGGATGCTTGTAGAATACACTTTCTAGACCATAATATCAAGACATTTTGATATCGTTAGCAGGACGACCGTGGACAATCGAATAAAAATAGCCTATCACGTCACAGCATCATTTGTCTTCGCTCTTGTCTACCGAGTAAGATGAACTCGTAATAGTAGTTTCAAGCATATCATAAATATTGGGAGAAAGAGACAACTAAGTATTTATGTACTACACATATCATTGAATTCATGCGTGGACTGGGACACTATTCGAGTGCCCAAACCGAACCAGGTGGTTTTGTTAAAAGGTCACTACTCCACAGGTCTTTTATCTACACGTCGAATCCGTACGACAGTAAAGCAACTTCAAGAGATATTATTCCATGCTAACCGATCCATCATTAATAGGTTCATAAACCACTTGTTTCCACATCAGGATCATGGAGTCGATATGCACCTGGTACATAAGCCTCAGCTGGACATTCGCTTTTCATCCTCTCAATTCCGTACACAATACTTGTGTCATGAAAAGACAGTGAGCAAAACTTATTTGGCAGTGGCTATAAAAGACTATGGCCATGTGTGAAAGCATTTCAAGAGGGACAACAGACTCTCCCTACTGTTGGTTATATCACACACACACTACTGTTGGGGATGTTAGATCCCCAGAACTCGCTTGATAAATAATGCCTTAGTTTGGGATTTTACGTTTGCGAGCATGGGCTCATCAGTTGACCTTGAGATTTCATTTCCCACCAGGAAAAACCATGGCTGTGTGATTGGCTGCTGTGCATTTTAGTGTGCTATTTTCGTAACTGTCCCAAGGACGTCGTTTCTATGATGTATAAATAAACGAGAGTTGTGTGCTTGATTGTATTGTGATTGCTGGGTGTTTGTAGAATACACTTTCTACGCTTACCAAGACATCTGTTTTACCGCTTGAGATTCAAGGTAGCCTACCTGGACGCTGGTAATTGTCTCGTTCGCGCATATCGACTAAAGTGAACTCGTAATAGCCTCAAGCGTACCAAGTGACGAACATAACACACACACACCAAAAGAGGGAAACAACATGACTGTTAGAAATTATAGCAGCTACATGTACACGCACAAAAACATACACACACACATACGAAATACAGTTTTCTTCCCGTCTATAGTTTTTCGATGGGCAGCATCATCGACAATCAAGGTGGATCCGATGCAGATGTGAAGGCGCAGATCGGAAAAACAAGGACTGTATTTCTACAGTTGAAAAATATCTGGAACTCCAAACAAATATCAGTCAACACCAAAATCAGGATTTTTAATATAAATGTCAAGACAATGTTCTACTGTATGGGGCGGAAACTTGGAGAACTACCAAAACCATCATCCAGAAGATACAAGTATTCCTTAACCGTTGCCTACGCAAAATACTTCGGATTCGTTGGCCAGACACCATCAGCGGAGGAGGTAATCAGGAAGAAGCGGTGGAAGTGGATAGGACACACACTACGAAAAGCACCCAATTGCCTCACGAGACATGCCCCTTCTTGGGACCCTCAAGGTAAAAAGAAAAGAGGAAGGCCAAGGGACACATTACGCCGAGAAATAGAGAAAGACATGAGAAAAATTGGACAGAACTGGTAAGGGAAGCCCAGGACAGAGTAGGTTGGAGAAAACTGGTCAGCAGCCTATCCTCCATTGGGGGTAACAAGCTAAGGTAAAGTAAGTAAGTATAATTTTTTGATAAGCAAGTAAAACGAATCACGTGATTTTTCATATCACAACATTACCTCTATTGGTTCCATTTCAGATATTTTCTTTAAAACTGATTTTAATTGTGGTGAAACTAACACAGTACTGATTCGTTCACGATATCTAAAATTAATTTGATTAAAATGATTATATTTATCAGTAAAGTCGTTTAAATCTTGTAAACGAAAACAATCTTTTTTAGTCAGTAGTCGATCAATGTTAGACCACCATTAGCAGAACCCGGAATCACTGGACGGCCGTTTTGTCCTACTGTTAAACTCATCAGTGGCAGTGCGTATCCACGAACCCAGCTCATCGAAATCAAACCAAAGACATTCGTGACCAGTGTAGTCCGACCACGTCAAGTGTGGAAAGTAAACTGCCGAAGATAATAATAGGTGAGGTTGTGCAATACATTTGATTGATCGAAGTTGAACATTAACATTGTTGAATAGCGGCAACTCAGTCGCCTGGAGGTTAAGCGTTTGCGCGTGAGACCCACGTTCCGGGGTAGGGGTTGTGCATGCGCACTGTTGATGAATACCATAATGGGACTAGTAAGCACTAGTAAGCACATTTTACGATATTTTTAATTAGAGTTTTGGAGATTTGTGTTTTTACACATTTGTCTAGTTTGTGTATAAGCTGGTACAACTGAACATTGCTTACCGCCTACGTGTATATTCATCATCCTATTCGCTTTCATGTTATTCTATTAAATATTTCGATGACTCAGAAATTTCCCTATGAATATATGTATGAACATTTTCATCTTAGTAATTCAGTCGCCAATTCGCTTGCTTGCTTGCCTTCCGGCACTCGCATATCGATTTTTATCTTTGTGCAGCATACCTATGGTCTACTGTTCTATTTATGGTGGTGTGGCGAAAATAAACGTATTCAACCCGTCGTGTTTACCTTCTCATTTATAAACCGTCAGACGCTATTCAGCTAACGATTGTCCGGACGAGTAAATTACGAAATCTAGGAACACATTGCTCATCACAAGAACTAACAGTCCCATGATAAACGAGTAATGATGGCTTCGGAGACATGTATCATCGAAAACCAGGAACCACTTACGGATATTCTTTACTTGTTAGGATATTCACCAAATATCCTAAGAGTACTATTCTTGGAAGTATAATCCTATTGGTCGATTTCTATTGGTCAAAATTATGGTCGTTTTAACTGTCAAAGTCAAATACTTCAATGTTGTCTCTGATTGGTCATCCGGACTGTCAATGTCATTTCAAATGTTACTTCCTATTGGTCGTCGTCTTAAACTGTCAATGTCACAGACTTTGATGCTCTTTCCTATTCGACCTAAATGTATAAATACGCACTATTTGTAAGACTTCGTGTTTTCCGTTCCTTCCTGCCTACCTCTCTCTTCTGTACTCAACCCAAATAAACAACTCTATCCAACGGTGTTGCGTTCTGATATATAAGAGATTTGGGAATAGTATTTGGGTCGCATTGGAATATTTGAATTGGACGCCGCTAGGACTGAATAGCTATACGTAGAAGCATTATAACATTACTCTTACTAGGCATGTTTCACAGTCATAAAGTAGGATATATTGATATAATAAATGAGTTGTGATAATCATAAAACTTACAAACGTTTCCAAAATTCAAATCGATCTATATTCTCTGTTTCAATGACAAAACGTCGTTTCATAAATTTATCATACAGATGTAAATCGAATTGATTTTGTAATTGTAAATACTGTTTGAAAATTAGGAAAAAATAAAAGTAGATTATTATTATCGAGGAAATCAATTAATCATGTAATATATACACTGATAGACAGACAGACAGACAGACAGATACAACGCAGAAATTCGTACATAAGTACATCAGTTCAGGTTGCCCATACCACATCAGCACAAAGACGCAACAGTCAGTTCAAATCCAAGAGTGATAGAAATAGTAGAAGTATTAGCAGTAATGGAGAAGATTAGGAAACGAAGATATGATTCGAGAAATATAATTCAGTAAGATAAATTTAGAAGGGGAAAAGTAGAGATTATGAGGAATTCAGAAGTTTAGAATTTGAGAGAACACAATGAATGGATGCGCCTGCGCCATTACAAACGATTTTAAGAGATGTCGTTCAAGGTCTCAAACCATAGGTGACTTTCGTCTTGCGGACCCCAATCAGGTAGCCTACATCTACCAACATGACTCAGTCCATTTGTCAGTGACTTCATGGATATCTGCCATGTTTTGGTTTGGCCGCCCCCAGCTTTCTTCCAACCTAATCCTACACTACAAAACAAAGCTCGTCGAGGCAGTCGGTGGTTAGACATACGTAACACATGTCCCAACCACCTCAACTGATGACGTTTCACTACTTCATCTATACACTCTTAGTATAAAAAAGGAATTTCCGGAGATTGATCTTAGCTAGACCAAATAGCATTGAAAATCTTTAAGCACTAGATGTAGAATTGCTCGGTAATGCGCACCCATATATATACAACGTATGTCCGTGGATTGTTTGATAGGACAGAGTCAAAACAGTTTTCATGGCCACAAATACAAGTCAGTAAAGTATATCCATAGACATAAGAAGGATAGACAGAAACACTATTCAGTGCTTATAAGGTTTCAATACTTGTCTTATTCAAATCAGTTTATAACATAAATGTAAATCAATAACAACCATCGAATTTACGGATGCGAAACATGGCCAGTCAAAGTAGAAGATATTCATAGGTTACTGGTTTTCGACCATAAGTGTCTCCGAAGCATTGCTCGTGCATCTTGGGACAACCGAGTAAGCAATGCTGTAGTTAGGAAACGGGTATAAGTTAGGATAGCAGGTCAATATATGAAGTAGTGAAACTTCATCAGTTGAGATGTACTGGATATGTGTTACGAATGCCTAACCACCGACTACCTCGTCGAGCTATGTTTTGCGATGTAGGAATAAGTTGGAAGAAAGCTAGGGGTGACCAAACCAAAACATGGTACAAATCCATGAAGTCGACAACCTGGTTAAGGTCCACGAGATGATAGTAATCGACGGTTAGAGACCCTGAATGACATGGCTCAAAACTGTTTACAATGGTGCAGGTGCATTCACTATCTCATATCCCAACCTTCAGAGTTTATTTCACTAGGTTATGCTTCTTGAATGATTTCTCCCAACCCCAATCTCTCCGATCACTGCTAATACTTGTATGTTAATGGGACATAGATGGAATTAAAGCATGACTACGTTGCTGCGCGCTGATTGGCTAATTTCCTATCCAATCAACGCCTAATCGAATCTTGGAAACAGGGCAGAAGATTCTCGTACCGTTAGCTGCATGCTGATTGGTTAAATCTAATCCAGTCGATCACGTGAATTTTCTTCCAAAAGCTTTCTCATGTAAAGGCTATAAATAGACTAGCGTTGTATCTATTCTTGCCTTCTTTGCCTTGGACTTCGCCATCACCTCTGGCTTCTTATTTCCTTGCTATTTTGGAATATAATCTTTTCCTGTTCAACCGTGTTTTGATTCTTGGGAACTTGTCCAGTGTATTGTGGTCAGAGAATACTAAGCAATAGGATTTAGCTGGAAAATATATTTAAGCAAGCGTTACAACATTGTACTACCTCCACTAATATGAGATATGAATCGAAAATTCGATCTCTCTGTGCTAATGTGGTAGTATGGCAACATGAATTGATGTAGGTACGTATGTACGAAGTTCTGAGTTATAACTAACTAACTGACTGACTGACTGACTGATTACAATCTTCACAACTCTTATTAACACTGACAATGATTAATTGAATTTCTTTTGTTTTTCAAAAAATTAAAAATAAAAAATAAAATCAATGAACTAAGGCAATCATAATGATCATCAACTCTAACTCACTTCATCTAATCCATATTGTTGTTCAATATTAGTTAGCAGAGTGGTTTTATCCAAATTTTCCAAATTAGAAAAATCGATATATCGATTTTTACGCAAAAAATTCACAATACTTGCTGGAGTGGAGAGATCATATTCCTAAATTGAGTATATAGACAATAGAATCAATAACAATAACAAGTAAAGATTGATACAAGTATGATGATTATAAGGTGTTACATTTTGCATTATAGAAGAAGTGTACATATTCAAATTAAAATGAGCAACAGTCTTCCATTTGATATCATACTTCTTGAATAATATCTTCTAAACCTAACCTCTCCGATTACTTCTAATACTTTTACTACATCTTCTACTATTGGATTTGAATTGACAATTTTATATCTCTGTGCTGATGTGGTATGGCGACATGAACTGATGTACTTACGTTCGAAGTTCTACGTTGCAACTGACTGACTGAGATGTAGTTGTAATCATACAACCAATAGGTATAAAACAAGACGTTGAAGAGATTTCAATCATACACCTCCTTACACAATCGTTTACACACAAGGGTGAAATTGGAGTAGACAATGGAAAAACTATCTGTTACGCGTGCAGGTAAACAGGTCAATTTGATACGCTTCAATTAATACGAGTTTACCTTAGTCGGAAAACGAGACCGAGGATCCGGTGACACGACATGCTTCGCTAATCCGATTGTCCCAACCCTCATATTGAGTAAAAGAAGAAGACTTGATAAGAAGTAGAACCTGTATTCTAAAAGCATCCAGAAAGTACGAGGTCCAAGTCCCAGAAGAAGGCAAGATTCCCGGACTGAGGATCCGGGTCCCGGTCATAAAACGTTACAGATAATGCATATTTATACAGTTAAGTCGAATAGGAGATAACATTGAAGTAAGTGACAGCGATATCTAGGAAAACCATAATATTGACCATTGGGAATCGACCAATAGAACTTACACCTACAAAATGATTCTTCGTAGGATATTTGGTGAATAGCCTAACACTATCATTTGAATGACTCGATACTATTTTCAATAATTAGATTCTAATCTTTCTGCTTATATGATACGGTTTATGCATGTTTGATTTGTTCCATGAAAGTCTCATTACACTATCTTCATGTGAAGAGAGTATTTTTAAAAGAAAGGTGCAAGATGAGTACAGTGTTCAAATCATGAAATAGTAGATACAGGGCTTACATATGTAACACGTTAATCGGACTATCTAGTCCAAAAACCTACAAACGATTAGTACTACCTTGGTTCCAGCACTTGGTACGATACTAATCACAGTAAAACCGCCTGGAGACCCTCCAGGTTACTGCCGGTTCCAAGCCCGGATAAAGGAGGGGGGTTGGGCCACCCCACCCAGTAGAAAAATAACTCGCTAAAAAAACACTAACAAGAAAGAGTAATTCAAACCATTTAAACTCTGTCTCGGGAGTTAGGTCTTCATTTAGAAGAGTAGTAACGTCTCATAATGAAAGCCGAGTAAGGACTCGGAAAGATAAGGACACTGGACGTTGCCTCTTCGTTGTATCTGCCTACGCTCCCACTGACTGTAGTTCAGTCGAGGTAAAATATGAGTTTTACAGAAAGCTTTCGGAACTCCTCCAAAACGTTAGGCGCTCTGATATAGTAATAATGACAGGTGACTTTGTTGCTCAATTAGTCAGAGTCAGTGAAAAGGAGAGACACCTGGGTGGATCTTACAGTGTTGTGGCTCAAAGATCAGATAATGGAAACCGCCTATTGCATCCATGCCCAGATAATCGGATATTTTTAGCAAACACTAACTTTAAACTTAAGGAAAAACGTCTCTTGACCTGGCGACCCCCAAAGCCGAATCAACTAGATCATATCCCTATAACCAATCGGTGGAGAGGCTCTGTTGAAGACTGCCACTCATTCTGGAGCACTTGTCTATATTCAGACCATGCTCTAGAGAGAGCGCGTATTTGTTTGAGGCTTACTGGACGTGGGAAAAACACCGCCAGAAAACCTCCTAGAGCTCTACTAAGAATATATTTCAGGAACAACTAGAAAAACAGTTAGACAGCCATGTAGTTAGTGATGCCCACTCCGAGATAGCTTGGAATAATATCCAAAAAGCTTTCGAAACAGCAGCGGTGGATTTCAGTGGCATCTACCGAACTGATGAATGCTCGGAAACTCATCCCGTCTGACTCTAAGTACGATGAGGAGCGGTGTCAGCTTAGGCACAGGCTGATAAAAAGCTTACGCGATATTTCTACTACATCTACAACTATGGGATTTGAATTGACAATTCGATCTCTCTGTGCTAATGTGGTAGTATGGCAACTTGAACTGATGTATACGTACGTACAAAGTTCTACGTCCTAACTGACTGACTGACTGACTGAAAACCAGATTCCAACGACCCAGTATAAATAGTATTCTTTTAATCTATTGGCAGTTAGTGTCTGTAATTATATTATGTGCTCCACACTACCCAAGTAAGTCACTAATAAGTGGACTGAGTCATGTCGGTAGATGTCGACTACCTGGTTGGTGTCCGCGAGATGATAATAATCGATGGTTAGAGACCTTGAATGACATGGCTCAAAATCGTTCGCAATGGTGCCGGTGCATTTATTCTTTGTGTTCTCTCAAATCCTAATCTTCTGGATTCTTCAACACCTCTAGTTTTGACTTTCTAAACTTTTCTCATTTAATCATACTTCTTGAATAATATCTTCTAATCCTAACCTCTCCGATTACTCCTAATACCTTTACTACCTCTTCTACTATTGGATTTGAATTGACAGTTACATCTCTGTGCTAATGTGGTATGGCAACATGAACTGATGTACTTACGTTCGAAGTTCTACGTTGCATCTGACTGACTGACACTACCCAAGTATAAAATATCCTAAAATTCCAAGAGTCACCAATTGTAATAACCTCGATGAAAAGCTAAAACCAGTAGGAAACGTGATGTGACAGACAAAATCAGTTTTTTCTGCAAGGGATTCCAAGGCTATTTCTCGAAATTTATGCAACAATTCACATTCTGTTTTGCCATAATAAAAAAAGAAACTATTCCCAGCTGTCTACTACAAACATGTCTAATGTAACCCAACCTGACAGGCCAGATAAAAACCAAGCATATAGATGAAGTCTTAGTTTGAAATAAAAATCTTTAATGAAAATAAACATATAATACGTAACATTCATCCACTAAATTAGCAGAAGGATGACCAAAAGTGCCGAGTACGATACAATTAGTATGCATGAACACGTTGTAGATAACCTCAGCCATAAATAAAACTGTTAAAAATCCCACATTTTACTTATGCAAATCTGTTAAGATATTCATCAAATAACCTAAGAGAATTATTTTTTAAGTCTAATTCTATTGGTCGATTCCTATTGGTTGATATTACGGTCGTCTTAACTGTCAATGTCACAGACTTCAATTTTGTTTCCTATTCGACCTAACTGTATAAATATACATTATCTCTAACGTTTTATGACCCGGAGCCAGATCCTTAGGTCCGGGGTTCTTAGTCTCTTCTAACCCGACCGAAGATGCTACCTTGAAGTGGTGGTCGCGCTTGACTATCGTCATGACCCAAACGAGCTATGCTGGCTGGAATATATGTTCCTGTAGGTTCTACCATGCCAGGCAGGTCGATTGCAGAACGATGAGACTAAAAGCAGCTACTCAAGGTCTCAGGGCGAAGTCGTACTGCTGACTGCAGTAAGGTGTTTCTCTCGGACAATCAGCATCTGCAGCGATGCTGCCTTCTCACAAGGAAGGAAGGGTTAGAAAAGGTCGAATCTAAAAATGTCACACCTCACCCTACCTTACGGATTCCCGTCTCCAGCGGTAAAGGTGCCCACTAAGGGCTCTCAAGAGCGGAGCTAACACTCAAAAAACTTCTCATAAAAAGGGCCGTGCGCGACCAGCCTCAAGCAGTTGTCCCCTGGACTCTGCGGTCACGCACCCAGGTCTCTAAGACCAACACTAATCTACCTTCCTTTTCAGGTCCCTCAAAAAACAACCTTCCACGGTGTGGGCAGCCGGGAAGTGACAACCGCCGTCATACTCGTAACAGCACACCGTAACAGTCTCTTCTGGACTCGGACCTCGTACTTTCTGCATGTTTGTAGAATACAGGTCCTACTTCACATCAAGTCTTCTTCTTTTACTCAATGGGGGTTAAGACACTCGGATTAGAGTAGCATGTCATGTCGCCGGATCCTTTATCCTTGCTCTCATTTACAAACTACGGTAAACTCGTAATAATCCACGTAAATCAAATAACGTGTTTATGTGCATAAGTAACAAAACAAACCCAAACCCCTTTCAAGTTGAACTTGATTCAAAAAAAAACAAAACATGAAATTGATCAAATAAAAAAAATGTGAACAAAGAGAAGAAAACAGTGCAAAAAAAAACTCACAATATCATCTAGAACAGCTTCAAGCTGACAATCAATTAATTGACTATGCAAATGATTGTGTAATCGTTTAGTACTTGATAATAGCCGTTCTGTTTTATACTCACTTATATCTCGAAAATTTCGGCATTTATTCTTTTTTTTCACAGAAGTACAATGAAAAACACCATCATCATCATCATCACCATTGAGATTGGCTTGACGTAATGGTGTATTAATTAAACTGACAAATGTAATTCTTTCAGATTCAGTAACTTTTGGTGTTTTACTGATAACATCTAATTGGTGATGATGATTGTTATTACATTTTCTTTTGATTAATGATTGAGAATTATTATTATTATTAAAATTCAAATTGATTAAAGGCATTTTCACAACAGATGCAGGTCGTTTACATGATAATAATGATGATGGATGCATTGGGACATCATCTGTAGTCATGCATAATGTATTTGTATATGGTACAAAAGGATGCGGTGATTTAAATGATGGTGTAGATGTTTTCTCAGTGTTTTCACATGTTGAACGATTGAACAATTGAGTATCATGTTTACTAGGAGAATTCTTATCCATTTTCTTATCATTTTGAACAGGAAGTTGGATGTCGTCGTCATCAATATTATGATTGGAAATAATCGACATATTACATAAATCATCATTGATTGCTAATGGACATGGGCTATTTTGTAACTCCATATCAGAAATATCATGATGATGTGTAGGTGTACTGTTTAATTGATTATTTTGTACAGATATGACTTCATCCGGACTACAAATGGTAATTGATTTTAATGTACTAGCATCAGCATGAGCATCAGCATCATTTTCGATTTCCATATTTGTATTCTGTTGTTCTTGTTGTTCATTGGTCAATTCAATGGGATTAATTTGTTGTAAACAAGGATTAGGTGATAATCCCATTGAAACATCACTACTATTAATCGATGTGACACTTTCCATATCATCATTAAAGTTATTACTAATATTATTGTCGTTATTATCACGGTTATAATTATTATTATTCTTATTATCAGTAGTATTAGCAGTAGTAGTAGTAGTAGTAGTAGTAGTAGTAGTATTTGAGTTTATAACAAATTCATCTTCCACAGTTATATTCGAATTGAAACGACTGTTAAGACACAAAAAAAAAACTTTGGTAAGTAAACCAATTCAAATGAAACTTTAAAATATACTCTAGAACTAGTCTCCCTGCATTTTTTTTGGTGGTATCAGTCAGTCAGTTGTAACGTAGAACTTCGTACGTATGTACATAAGTTCATGTTGCCATACCACCAAATTAGCACAAAGACGTAAATGTCAAATCAAATCCCATAGTGATAAAGATAGAAGAGGTATTAATGGTAATGAAGAAGACTAGGGTTTGAAGATATTATTCAAGAAGTATGATTCAATGAGAAAAGTTTTGAAAGTCAAAACCAGAGGGGTTGAAGAATCCAGAAGATTAAGATTTGAGAGAACACAAAGGGTGGATGCACCTGCGCCATATCAAACGGTTTTGAGCCATGTTTTTGAGGGTCTCTAACCGGTTACTATCATCTCGTGGACCCCAACCAGGTAGTCTACATCTACCAACATGACTCAGTCCACTAGTCAGTGACTTCATGGATTTCTGCCATGTCTTGGTTTGGCCGCCCCTAACTTTCTTCCAACCTACTTCTACACCACAAAACATAGCTCGTCGAGGCAGTCGGTGGTTAGGCATTCGTAACACATGTCCCAAACACCTCAACTAATGAAGTTTCACTACTTCATCAATTGATCTGCCATCCTTTGGTGGTATAATCATGATTAAATCATGATTTCAATGTAAGACAATCCATCTGCATAATTCTATAATGATAAAAATTATAAAATGTGCTCGCTAGTAACTAGCTTCATAAGGAAATTCTCGGAGTTCTGGTGAGAAGACGTGATCAACCTGTCCGGTGTAGGCAGTAACTACTAAAGACAATGAATCAGATTGCGCAAAATCTTTAGATTATTCAGAGTTAGACATTAACATCGGCTGATGCCGGCTCAGTGGTCTGGAAGTTAAGCGTTCGGGCGTAAAAATGAAGTACCGGAGTTCGAATCCTGCGAGTAGCAGGGGTCGCGGATGGGCTGGTAAGTCCCATACTGAATCGAAACAGCCATCCAGTACTTCCAGGTTTTTGATAGTGTTCTAACGATGATTAAATCACGATTTCAATGTAAAAGCTAATGAGTAACAATAAATATGGAAAACGTTATCAATGTACAGGACGATCAGAAGATATAAAACTTGAGGAAATGAGATTTGCTCGATCCATTGATAATTACTGCCTAGTCTGGTATGACCGTAGAAGCAACATGATGGATAGGGCTTACAGGAACAGACTCATACATATTTCATTATTCCACAAAACTACCGACTATTGAACGAAATCATTAAAGTATCTTAGTTTGTATGTGGATAAATACAGATAGAGAAATATATGGTAATATGGGAAAGAAATATTTGGGAAGTATGGACAAACTATAGGTCACTTAACGTCCAATATATAGTGTATCACATTGAAAAAACCTATAAAGCATGAGTTGTGTCTGTCATTTCTAAAAGACGAGAGATGTTTTGACAATTACGAAATGTTAATCAATGTGAGCTTTTTAAAAATACTAAGCACTTACATAGATCTTATTACCTTATGAAGCCAATTAACATGTTTCACACAGAGTAGACTTAAGTTCATACACCTATGAAAGTGGTCTTTAGGCTTCAAGGCTATATTTCAGAGAGCTATAACCAACTAGCTATTATTTAGTTAGTTAGTTAGTTACAACGTAGAACTTCGTACGTGAGTACATCGGTTCAAGTTGCCATACTAACTAGCTATTACATTCGGATGAATAGAAATCATACACAAAACTCAACTAACAATTAAAATGAAATCAAACTCTCTGGTATATTTCTTAAAATATAATGAAATATCACAATTAAACGAGTAAAACGGCAACAACCGTAGTAATAATAATAATAGATAAAAAAATACAAAGCTCTTTTGCAAATAACTTACCTGACGCACATCTGCGAATCATCATCCTCGTCACCCAACACAAAGACATACTGTGAGAATGAAACACGTCTATTTAAACTCTTAGATGAGACGATAGCATCCTAATAAAAAAAAATGAACATTGAGACAACGAATTATCTCGAAAAAACCTGACTTACAGATGTATCATCCACTGGATCAAATGCCAACTTTAAGGACTAGAAAGAAACATGTTACGCAAAACATACATTATGCATACCGATCTAGGAGGTTTTTTGCCACAGTTGGAAGTGATCATTATTTGTTGACAGTATTAACAGTCACCAGGAAATCTGTGGAGAAATAGAACAAAGATATGTTCCGCAGTAGATATCAGACGACAAACGACTAGTATATAATGTACACTAACAAAACATCTAGAAATTATCTACCTAAAAATGAAGTAAAACCATAGAATTATTAATATTCTGAGAGGTTTGAGACCATTACACATTAAAATCTTGTCTAAAATAAGATCAATATTCAAAAATGATTAAACCGGTACGAAGCCTCCATAAGTTAAGTAGTTGCTTGAACTTTGACTAAAAAATTATTTAGTCATGTTCTTAAATACTCGAAAAAGCTCAAGAAATTAAAAGTCAAAAATCTCAGGACACTAGACATACGGAACAGCTATGAATCAGTCGAATTTAAAACACCTTATTGAAAATGAAGTTAGAAAACTGACATGATATTTAACTAAGTAACTTGAGCTTCAGACCTACAAACAAATTTTGTCAAGCTGAGAAAAATTTTGTTCATATATGGAAAGCATAAACTAAAGTTCCCAAATTCAGATGACGTGTTTAAATGTCGAGCTAACTTTAAGTGATCTTGAAAGCAGAATATACACCAAAACGACACCTACTGACTCACCTGACAAAAAAAGCTAATGACATTTGATAGGACGGCAAACTCATACCTCCCGCGAGAAACACAAAATTAAAATGTCGACATAACAAAATTCCGATACAATATCCAATCTATATCACAAGCTAGTAAAAATTAATTGTCTTCTTTGCGCTCGATTATTGATCGTTTGACACATATTCCAGTTACTTGCCAGTATCCAGTGAATTCTATATCCAATTTCCGATATCTGTTTTAGTATAGCAGAATTGATTTCTTTGCGCTCGATTCTCGTTCTTTCGGTACGGTTCCAGGTGTTCGGTAATGTCCAATGAATAGGATGCTAGCCACTCGACTGTCTAATTCTAGTCAGTTGGCAGTTGGTTGTGAGTTTGTATGTCTCGGGATTCGAATTAAAACGTTTGTTTCAGGGCAGTAGGGTTTCTGGATACTAGCAGCCGTCACATTACCAAACCGGAGATCAGTTAGTCGCAATGTGCAGAATAATGAGGATAATAAGGATAAAATTCTAATGCTAATGTGAATAAAATTTCAGAACTGAGTAGTTTACAGGTTATTTAGTTTATTAATTGGTTGTGAAAATTGTGAGAGAGGACCGAAATGTAAGCAAGGGAGAGGAACCAGAGATAATAGGCGAGATAGATTAATTGAGTGATCTGAGGAGATGGCAATGGGAACAACTAGCAGGTCTCAAGATATGCATCAGGCACAGCTTGTCCAACAGGGAGGTGATAGTCCGTATGTGGTACGTGATTATCAAGTCTCTTCTTAAAGCAGTCCACTGAGGGGGCTGTGGTCACCTCGGCTGGGAGAGCATTCAAAGTTGCAAAGACTCTTAATGAGAAAAAGTGTACAAGAACCTGAGTATTCGGCCTTGGGTGCGCAATATTTTGACGATTACCTCTAGAAGAGTGGTGGTAATGCATCGGTTTGGCGAGCCTAATGTGTTGTACGTCATGATCAAATCACCTCTTATTCTCCTGTAAATCGGGAGAAATAATCCCAAGTGCTGGAGTCTATCTTCTTCTCAACATTCCATCCAAAAGATTTATGTCTGACTTACGTGGAGGGGGTGCGACGACGTTGTGAACCTCCAGATGTGGGCGCGCGCATGTCTTAAATAATGTTAAGAATAATTGTGGTGTGGTAACACCATTTTATCTTCGCACGAAGTGAAGATTTGGTATTTGCCTTAGCTGCGTTCCCTTTACTGTTCCGGCTTGTGTGGAGGCTTTCTGCGGTTGTAAACCGAGATCACTCTTTGATGAGACATGAGGGAGCGGACTTCCGTTGAGGATGTAAATCGTTTTTCGTCATGTGGTTCAGAATGGACATGACCTGACACTTCGGTTGGTTGAGTTACACTGCCCAGTTGTCAATGCATGTAAGGTTCTTTTGAAGCTCAGTTGAATCCTCTCTGCTTCTAATGGACCTCCAGATATTTGCATCCTCTGCGTAGATCAATGCCGCTGACCAAACTTTGTCTAACATGTCGTTATTCATTATCAGAAAGCGAGTCGGACTTAAGACGGTCACCGGCGCGGTTGAGATCCCCCAACTTGCGTGAACTCTATTTACCTTGGTACGAAACTTTCTATTCTCAAAGTAATTTCTGAGCCAGGGTACAAGTGGGTCAATGAAGCCCGTTTCCGCAACTACCGCGATTTGGAATGCATGGGATACTTTGTCGAAGGCTTTTGCAAAATCTAGAAATATTACGTGCATAGGCATTTCTCGGTCCTAGCAGGTCGTCTAACTGTCCCTTGCTATGAGAAGATCGTATGTACACGACCTGCATTTCCGAAACCAGTGTTCAGCTCCATGTTGTATTGTATTCTTATCCATGTACTCCCTTATTTGTTTGTTCACAAACCATTTCATTACCTTTGATAGTATTGGTCTGTAACATGCTGGTTCCTTTTTATCTCCTCCTTTGAAGAATGGAGACAGAGTAGCTTGTTTTCATTCGACTGGAACTTGATGTGACGCCAATGAACGTCTGTACAAGTCACATATCGATGGACAGAGGGCTTCTGCACACTGTTTCAAGACTATAGAGCAAATATTATGACAACCTGATGACCTTCCTGGGCGTAATGCCTTTGGTTTACTTGGTACTATGATAGGAGCAATTCGGAGATTTTCTAAGCCGTCAGCTCGCACTGGGTCTGAGTAGTATTCTGAATGTGTGGATACCTGGTTTACCTGGTTGGTGAAGTTTTTGTTGAAGATCTCAGTCATCTCCAGGTTGATGAGGCTTTCTCTATTCGGATCTTTCATTGAACAAAATCTCTGATTAGGTGCTTTTCTTTTAGTCCTGAACCTAAACAGATGCTTAGGCTTAGCGTGTAATTTAGCAGCTAGCTTAAACTGAAAACGTCTGCTATCACCTTGAACTTTGGTATTGCATCTGTTTCTCGATGCCAAGTAACGACTACGCCTGGAATCCCTCAAGGAGAACTTTTAATTGTGCCAGGCTTCCCTCTTCGCCTGTAGCAAGCGTTCAGTGCCGCACCTAAATTATGTTCTTCTACTTCTGGGTGAGTGGTGTGACTGAAGTAAGTTGCTAAGGACAGCATTCTGGATGATGTCTCTCACTCTTTGCCAGTGATCATCTACTGTCAGCTTCCACGAAGCACGTGGCCATGTGGCATGTAGGAGGACCTCTCGCATACGCATATAATTTTCCGTGGTGCAGCAAACACAGGGCTCGTTTTCGTCCTGTGCCATGGTCACTACTTCATGTTATTTTATGGACATGAACATCCTTAACCAGGATCCGATCATTTGTTAACAAATGATCCAGGTTTTAGGATTTTTCATCTTTAGTCCACTTAGTGGCACTGCATACGTGCTTAACAATCCAAGATCTAATGGCTGCGCCGAGCCGTCTTTGAAACCAACTAGTGGGAGTTCTACTCTAATTGCTCACGTATTTAATGGTCTTAGTTTTAAGTCAGAGATAAGTCAAATATACTTATTACCATGATCAAGGATTGGGTTCGAATGATACGCTGAACTTGTGAGTACCTGGATTGAATGATCAGTGAATTAAGTGCTAAAGACCGCAACCATCTCCAGGTTGGTACGATCTTCGCCTATAGGACCTCTGAGAGCTCAAACACCCTGGTTCGTACGTTTTCTTTTGGTCGTAAACCCATGCAGACATTTTGTGTATGTCAGGTTGTGCAGCTAGCTTCATCTGGTATTGTCTTCTATCCCTGCGAACCTCCTCTTGATGAAAGACTGGACTCCAGAACCAAGACACCAAGTCCACCACTCAATGTTTACTTTGAGAAAACGTACCAAAATCCACAAGAAGATAATGCAGGGATTGATCAAAGCTGCCGAATGAGTAACAAAATATAATCTTGACACAGATTGCTCAGTGTCAAACTGTCTCGCTGAATAAGATATTCAATATCTCACTTCGCAATAATTTGTGATCTTTGAATCAGAAAAGTGCGATTTTCAACAACAACCATAGGACAGGATCAAAAGAACATACAAAATCTTCCAACTTTTTAGATTTTGGAAAAAACTGAAAAAGCCATGCTTAATTACATGGCGACAAAAAGCTTGATGAAAAATGAATAACGATAATAATAATAATATATTTATTCTCAAATAACAGCATGTTACAAGAGGCATGCCAGTTTTGCAGGCTGGATCAAATTGTCACAAATGCTACTACATTTGCTGCAAAAGTTATAGAAGCTAGATTAGATACAAGAGCCGGTTTCTGAATGCACATTTACACCATTTCTTTGACAGAACGATTTGATACAGCCACATTTTCAGTAAGTGAATACAAATAGGGAAGGTGCACAGTAGGGTTCCTGAATAGTTTGATTAATTCTGAAGTAAATTTGTTTTCACTGTCTTACTTGCTTTTTATCAAATACCAACCACTAAGTCATCCTTTAAGTGCCTTAATAAGCGCGTTGTGTGTTTTCCTGATAGAATAGCGACCTCTGCATATTTTTGGAAACATGAGTCTCAAAAGTAGCAAGCGTATAAGAGCAACCTCTGTATCATTGAATGGTCGCCTGGTCAATGGAAGAGAGACGAAAGCAAACAAAATGCTCCACCCCTAAAACATGGGCGGATCGAAATCCTGATTATCATGTTAGAAAACCTCATTATTGTAAGGAAAAAGTGGAAAAAGTCACCTAAAAGGGTTCTGTCCTGCACCGTTCACTTTTTTCCTCAGATGTTTTAAATGCTCGATGAAAAATAACGTATTCAGGTACATGTGTACTTCTTGCCTATTTGATGAATTGGATAATATTAGGTTCATAAATTTATACAGCCTTAGTGAGATTTAAACTTGAATCTGCTTTCACGTAGCAATCGTATATTTAGAATGAATTGAAGAATTCAGTTGTT